CTGTTGTTCCCCATCCAGACCCCCACAGCCTCCAGGCACTGGGATAAGACATTCACAGCATCACTTAATTCTCTAGGGGCAGAGAAGTATAGTTGGGTATCATCAGCATACTGATGATACCTCACCCCATGGCGACGGATGAGCTCACCCAGCAGCCTCATGTAGATGTTAAAAAGGAGGGGGGAAAGCACCAAACCCTGCAGTACCCCACATAACAGGGGCCGAGTGTGGGATCTCTCCTCCCCAACCACCACCAACTGGAATTGGCCCCGGAGGAAGGAGGTGAACCAGCACAACACAGTGCCGCCCACCCCCAATCCTCTGAACCAATCCAGAAGGATACCATGGTTGATGGTATCGAAAGCCGCTGAGAGGTCAAGTAGGCCAAGGATGGATGCAGAACCCCCATCCCGCCCTCACCAGAGATCATCCAAAAGTGCAACCAATGCTGCTGTTTCCATCCCATACCCAGGCCCGAATCCTGACTGAAAGGAATCCAGATAATCCGCTTCATCCAAGGCCCTCTGAAGCTGTTGCACAACCACCTTCTCAATCGCCTTCCCCAAAAAGGGGAGGTTAGATACTGGATGAACATTGTCCAATATAGTGGGGTCTAGCGATGGCCTCTTGAGGAGGGGGTGAACCAAGGCCTTCTTAAGAGGTGAGGGAACAACCCCTCACTCAAAGATGTATTAACCATCGCTAGAACCCACTCGCACAACACCCCCCGAGCTGCTTTCACAAGCCAGGAGCGGCATGGATCTAAAGAGCAGGTGGCTGAGCTCACAGCTCCAAGGGCCCTGTCCACTTCCTCAGGTCCAACAGGTTCAAACAGTTCCCAGATAACAGGGTAAGACTCCTCCCTAGTCACCTCCACTGGAGCTGCAGCAAAGCCAACGTCCAACTGAGAACAAATCCGAGCAATTTTATTCAACAGATGTCGGGAAAATTCCTCCGCGTGTCCCTGAAGAAGGTTCTCCAAGCCATCCTTACCCAGGAGGGCTCGTGTCACCTGAAACAGGGCTGTGGGGCGGCTATCTGCGGACACAATAAGGGTAGAGGAGTAATGACGCTTCACTGCCCTTATCACCACTAAGTAGGCATGAATAGCAGCTCTAACCCATGTTCGGTCATTAGTCAGACTAATGTTACTAATCTGTCCTTAATGTTATTGTAATGATAAAATAATGTGAATTATGAAGCTGTTTACTGAAATCACAAAAAAATAGGAAAGATATTAACAATATCTAAATTACCATGGGTGATCTATACCAGAAATAAAATATATTCTTTCTTCCCTCTTAAGAATGTCTGACACAGACTGAGATTGTCTGTAATATTACTGTAGAGAGATTTAACCTCAGCTTCTTCTTCTGGAGAAAGGCATGGAGCTCCAATACTTACTGACTGTGGTTGTGCCTCCGGCCAGAGCAGCCTTCGTCCCTTGATAGAAGTCATCAACTGCTGCTAAACCTTGAACGGACTTCTGCAGAGAGGTATTGCTGTCAATACCCCCTGGAATAATCATCAAGCCGTTTGCCTCAATAGTTTTCACTCCTCCAGGAACAATCAAATTCTCTCCAATTTGTCTAACAAAAAGAAAGAAGGATTGCTTACTCTTTTATCTAGGAATGCTTCTAACCTGAAAAATCTCAATTATAAATTTCTACTTTAAAGAATCACCTGTACCCTCACAAAGTTAGGTTCTGCCCTAAAAATCACAAAGTACCTTGATTCCCAAGAGAGCTCACTGTATTTTTAGACTGCAAATTCTGCAAACGAAGCATTAAGCCCCACAGCCTCAAGAACCAATCTGAACGCTGCTTAAATTAGGGGCAGGTAGTAAGTTTATTTACTTACTTACTTACGTACTTGCTTATGTACTTATTTAGGCTTATAGACCACTTCAATCATAAATGATTCTCAGTGGTGTAATCAACCTTTGTTGATAGAAAGCTTTTTTAAAAACAAAACAAAAAACTTCAAAATTAACAACAGTCATGTGTCTTATCCCTATCTACCAATTTAGGCTTGTAAAACAAAACAAAAAAATGTTTGTGGGAAAACTAGATTGTATGTAGAAAGTCTATGAATCCAGCTTTACTACTGGGATCAAATGGTGGGATGGAGCATATGAACAAAGGCATCCCGTTCTTTCATTTTAATGGTGGTCCTCCGAAGACACAAGTATGTACCCAGCTCCAATTTGCGAACCTCAAGGAATCAGCAAAATAAAAGTGAACAGCTCCTGTGAACAAAAGCTCAACAATCCGTAATTTAATGCACTTGTGGAGCACTAAGATTCCTTGTAGTTTCTCACATTACTGTCATAATTCCTAGTACTACAATTAGGACATATTTTTGATGTAGTCCTGAAACATTCAATCTAAGAGCACGAAGGCAAATGTTGGAGGAATAACAAAAATTATTCGCATCTTTGTAAAGTTTAACTGGGTTGCTGATTTAGAAATATAACTCTCCTATAAGCTACCTCATGGAATGTAAAATTACTGTGAATATTCTTAAAATAAACATGTAAGCCTTTAGGATCCAACCAGCAAATTCTGGAATATACAGATGCTGATGTATAAAACTATTTATTACAGTTGTCTGTCAGTTTCAAGATAGTCTTAATTCCAAGACAGATTGGAGCAATTTGGAAGAAAGTGTCATTTATATAAGATGATTCAAAACCTCTGCACATCTCCATCCCTATTTGTCCCTCTAAAGCCCTATGATGCTCACATCAGAACGGGGAACCCAGCCCCCTCATCTTGTATCAAACATGGCAACAGAGAGGTGATCGATACACCATCAACTAAACACGATTCTTGGAATATAACCATCATAGGTCATGCCAACTGAGTA